GCCAGGCGCACAGGTGAGCGGGAAAGGGGAGCGCGCATGGGCGCATCAGCCGCAGGAACCAATCAGATGACAGCTTTCTGTAGCTAAATAACCGTTTGCCTTGGTGAGGTGCAAGTCCCAGCAGAACCTTTTCTTCTAGATTTGGTTGGAGTGGAGAAGGAACCCAACAATGAAACGATTCCAGGTCCTCCATCCTGGAGAGTCAATCAATGATGGCTGCTGAAGAGAGGTGGGGGACGTCGGGGGGTAGTATTTCAGGATGTAGGCTGGGTGGTGCAGGCTCCCTCTGTCTATAGATAGCTCAGGAGGTGGACACCTTAAGGTGGGAGACATCGGGGTGGGGGGGTGTTTTCGGGGTGGATCACTTGTATAGAGGGAGGTGGACACCTTGGGGGTGATCGGGGTGGAGGGGAGTTTTCAGGATGTAGGCCGGGTGGTGCAGGCTCCCTCTGTGTATAGATAGCTCAGGAGGTGGACACCTTGAGGTGGGGGAGATCGGGGTGGAGGGGAGTATTTGGGGTGCAGGCTCCCTCTGTCTATAGATACCTCAGGAGGTGGACATATTGAGGTGGAAGACATTGGGGTGGGGGGGCGAGGTGCAGGGGGCGGTGCAGGTCCCTCTGTCTATAGATAGCTCAGGAGGTGGACATATTGAGGTGGGGACATCGGGATGTTGGGGGGGAGGGGGAGTTTTCGGGGTGCAGGCCGGGCGGTGCAGGTTCCCTGTCTATAGATAGCTCAGGAGGTGGGGGACACGTGATCTCCGTCCCCCCCAGAGGGCGCTGTGTGCAGGACACAGGGGGCATGGCATGAAAGGGGAGCGCACGTCTTGGATGGGTGCAGGGCAGAACTGATTGTAGGGAGATGGCCCAGCACGGCACCACTGACCAGTAAGGAAGGTTGGAAGAAAATAATAATAATATAATTATCAATGTAAACGGATCCAACTTATTTAGTATCAATAATGCAGAGTTCAGGGGTCAGTAGTATGTGATGCAGAGTTCAGGGGTCAGTAGTAGTAAGTGCAGAGTTCAGGGGTCAGTAGTAAGTGATGCAGAGTTCAGGGGGTCAGTAGTATGTGACATGCAGAGTTCAGGGGGTCAGTAGTAAGTGATGCAGAGTTCAGGGGTCAGTAGTAAGTGATGCAGAGTTCAGGGGTCAGTAGTTTGTAATGCAGAGTTCAGGGGTCAGTAGTATGTGATGCAGAGTTCAGGGGTCAGTAGTAAGTGATGCAGAGTTTCAGGGGGTCAGTAGTAGTATGTGATGCAGAGTTCAGGGGTCAGTAGTAAGTGATGCAGAGTTCAGGGGTCAGTAGTATGTGATGCAGAGTTCAGGGGTCAGTAGTAACATGATGCAGAGCTCAGGGGTCAGTAGTAAGTGATGATGCAGAGTTCAGGGGTCAGTAGTATGTAATGCAGAGTTCAGGGGTCAGTAGTATGTAATGCAGAGTTCAGGGGTCAGTAGTATGTAATGCAGAGTTCAGGGGTCAGTAGTATGTGATGCAGAGTTCAGGGGTCAGTAGTAAGTGATGCAGAGTTCAGGGGTCAGTAGTAAAAGTGATGCAGAGTTCAGGGGTCAGTAGTATGTGATGCAGAGTTCAGGGGGTCAGTAGTATGTGATGCAGAGTTCAGGGGTCAGTAGTAAATGATGCAGAGTTCAGGGGTCAGTAGTATGTGATGCAGAGTTCAGGGGTCAGTAGTATGTGATGCAGAGTCAGGGGTCAGTAGTATGTGATGCAGAGTTCAGGGGTCAGTAGTATGTGATGCAGAGTTCAGGGGTCAGTAGCAGATGCAGAGTTCAGGGGTCAGTAGTATGTGATGCAGAGTTCAGGGGTCAGTAGTATGTAGCAGAGTTCAGGGGTCAGTAGTAAGTGATGCAGAGTTCAGGGGTCAGTAGTATGTGATGCAGAGTTCAGGGGTCAGTAGTATGTGATGCAGAGTTCAGGGGTCAGTAGTAAGTGATGCAGAGTTCAGGGGTCAGTAGTATGTGATGCAGAGTTCAGGGGTCAGTAGTATGTGATGCAGAGTTCAGGGTCAGTAGTAAGTGATGCAGAGTTCAGGGGTCAGTAGTAAATGCAGATGCAGAGGGTCAGTAGTAAGATGCAGAGCTAGCTCAGGGTCAGGAGTATGTGATGCAGAGTTCAGGGGTCAGTAGTATGTAATGCAGAGTTCAGGGGTCAGTAGTATGTAATGCAGAGTTCAGGGGTCAGTAGTATGTAATGCAGAGTTCAGGGGTCAGTAGTATGTGATGCAGAGTTCAGGGGTCAGTAGTATGTGAGCGTGCAGAGTTCAGGGGGTCAGTAGTATGTAATGCAGAGTTCAGGGGTCAGTAGTATGTAATGCAGAGTTCAGGGGTCAGTAGTATGTAATGCAGAGCTCAGGGGTCAGTAGTATGTAATGCAGAGTTCAGGGGTCAGTAGTATGTGGATGCAGAGAGTCAGGGGTCAGTAGTATGTGATGCAGAGTTCAGGGGTCAGCAGTAAGTGATGCAGAGTTCAGGGGTCAGTAGTATGTGATGCAGAGTTCAGGGGTCAGTAGTATGTGATGCAGAGTTCAGGGGTCAGTAGTATGTGATCAGAGTTCAGGGGTCAGTAGTATGTGATGCAGAGTTCAGGGGTCAGTAGTATGTGATGCAGAGTTCAGGGGTCAGTAGTATGTAATGCAGAGTTCAGGGGTCAGTAGTATGTAATGCAGAGTTCAGGGGTCAGTAGTATGTGATGCAGAGTTCAGGGGTCAGTAGTATGTAATGCAGAGTTCAGGGGTCAGTAGTATGTGATGCAGAGTTCAGGGGTCAGTAGTAAATGATGCAGAGTTCAGGGGTCAGTAGTATGTAATGCAGAGCTCAGGGGTCAGCAGTAAGTGATGTAGATTATGGAGGTCATTAGTAATGCAGAGTTGCAGCATCTCGCTCCATTCAATGCGCTCCAACTCTCCTCCCTGTGCTTTCAGAAGCTGCAGCCAGTCAGATCGATGTATCTATAAATGTTGCGCTCCTAATTACAAAAATATATCGTGTAAAATACGTGACTTCAATTAAAGGCGTATATGATCAAAATAATGTGAAGATATCAAATATTTAAATACATTCATAAATGAACGTGATGAAAAACAAAATAATAGTCCAATATTGGTGATGAAAAGATAATATAGTGACTCGTGAATCCTTCGATCCGTTTAGATGTGCGCTCACCTCCTTCTGTGCCTAATGGATAGGCTGATTGCATTTTGCACCACATATTGTGTCAACTTCTCACCAAGCTGCTTGGCCATAGTTTGGTAGCCCAGTCCAGGTACCTTGTGTAGACACCATGCTTTCCCTGACATCCTTTTTTGGTCTAATATGCCATGGTGGAGAGTTTGGAAGATCTGATGGTTTGATGATCTCCTGCTCACAGGCTTTTATACGTTCCTTTGGTAACACAATGAATTAGCCACTCCCTTTAAGAGATGAATCTCAGCTTGACCTGTATGGCGGGGACATCTGGGAGGGAAAAATCCTGCTGAATGATAGGGGATCCATCCTTCTTTCCCTCATTGAACAATTGCAGATCCCATGATTTCAGTTAGGCCCCATTTCTGCTGAATTGTGTTGGTTATTCTGTCTCTCCCCATTTTTGTGTTGTCAGACCGAACATTCCATTGTTAGACCGATCATTTCTGTGTGAGTGGGCGAACATTCCATTGTTCAGAGGGGGTGCGTTTGATGGCCCCACAATTGAGAAGAATTGTGCAGCATCATTGTTGGTGAGGGCGGGCCAGACATTCCATTGTTAGACCTGATCATTTGCAAGCAAATGCCTGTGAGGGGCGAACATTCCCATCATTGTTAGACTGAGTCATTTGCTTGTGTGCCAAGGGGCGAACAATTCCATTGTTAGACCGGGTCTTTGATGTGTGTACAGCCCCTGCCGGGGCCCTCCCACTAGTCATGATCTGCCTATTTGCTTTGAGGAGTACAGAGACCCAGTGATGACATCACTGGGATGACAAAGTATGTAATTAAAACATTATTGTGTTGATGGGGGGGGGGGGGGGCATTTTAGACCCGAAGCAGCAATCGGTAGGGGGGATGAGGTGAGTACCAGGAAGGGTGTGTCTGTACACTGCGGGGTCGGTGGGTGTGTGGGCCGAACGGCACGTGAGGACGTCACCCTGGTACACGGAATACACACTTCCCCATTTCTCATCCGCATTTCTGCTTCATTATAAACAACACGACGATTAACTTCTCACCAACCGGAAATATTACAAAACTGTAACTTTGTAACAAAACTACACAGTGAACGGAATTACCGGGAAGGATACATTTTTATTTGCATAATTTTTTACAGCAACAAAACATATTCCCATCATTGTAGAAATATTGGAGGACAAACTTGTTTTTTAAAATTGTGTTTTTGCACAGCAGCCATCTTTCTTCACTGATTGAGGTGTCTCTGGCCTGGAACAAGCATGCGTGCAGTGAAGGTGACTGGATACCCACGCTTGTTCTGGTCGGTGAGGGTTGAACGGTGGAAGGACATTAATGATCATTTTATCTTTCCTCCACACAGGCGGCAGAAGAGAACAGCGGCTCATTGCTTGTTGCTCCTCAGGGACCTTCCTCCCGGCTCCTCGCTCTCTCCGGCTCCGTACTGTTCTCTCCATCCATTGGAGGAGCTGGGATTATTCTGTGAGGCCTGTGCGGTTCCCTCGTGCCGGGACTGCGCTCTCCTCAAGCACCATGGACATGAGCTGCGCCCCGTGGTGGAGGTGGCGGTGAAGCACAAGGAGCAGCTCCGAGGAGCCGTAATAAAGTCGGATCCACAGCTGGAGGACCTGGAGAAGACTCTGCATGCTGTATACAGGGTGGGGGAGGACCTGAGGCAGAGGGCAGATATTCTGAGGAAGGAGGTAGAGGTCTTCACTGAGGGGTATATAAAGGCGGTCCAAGAGCACAAACTCCGCCTCCTGCGTGACCTCGATGAGGAAGTTCATCGGAAGGAGCAGGCCTTGAACCTACAGAAAGCTCGGGTCCATCAGCAACTCTCAGACCTCCGTACTGCCACCACCTTCACCAGGGGCCTCCTGCACTGCGGGCCCGACCACCATATTGTGCGTGCCAAGGTCCTGGCCCTGAGCCGCCTCCAAGATCTCAGCCATGGGGACCGCAGCAAAGCGGAACAGGTGGAGCCCGTCAGCATCCAATTCAGTCCGCTGGAACAGGCGGGGCCGTGCCGAGGATACCAGGTGTACGGTGCGGTGCAGAGAGGGGGGGTCGACCCCGAGAGGTGCGAGGTCAAAGGGCAAGGTGAGATTTCAGAGCTGAAGTGTGGAAAAGTGAAGCGAGTTATCAACCAATCGGATTCTGGGCTTAAAGCCAATCGAAGCCTTAAAACGTTTTGGTATTTCTTTATAGTCCTGTCCCCGGGCGTGGCAGGATTGATGGCCGATTTGTGCATGGAAGTGCCTTAAAATACCTGTTACCATTGGTGGGAATGATGTTTCCTGCCCTCCTACTCCGATGCTCTGTGTTGGCAGAGCTGAGTAACAGCCACACCCCTCATCACAGCCACACCCATCTCATCACAGCCACACCCCTCATCACACAGCCACACCCCTCATCACAGCCACACCCCTCATCACAGCCACCCCTCAATCACAGCCACACAACTCAGAGCAATGTTCTTGTATAGCAGAGAAGAGTGGGGGGAGGGTATGTCTACATAATAACATATACATTGTGTGTAGACCTCACCCCCGTAAGGGGTCCACTGTTTTGGTCCCAAGGTTCCTTCCCCAGTCAGTGTACGAGTAGCCAGGCACAGCCGCAGTCACTCTTCTGGCTCAGGGGTGTCCTTTAATGCTTTATTAAACTTGAACCTGGATGGGTTCCGGGTAAATGTGAGATGCTCCTGTAGGGCAAAGTAACTACTTGAGGACTCTCTCATAACTTCCCAGCACAGTCCTCGCAGTGGCAATGGATGGACGGAACTACACGGGGGCACCACAGGAAACGTCCAGCTTTGAGCACAGGCTGACACTGATTCTAGAGGGATAACAGTCCCTGGGGTCTCTCGCACTGGTCTGTACAGACGAATGTTCTTAGATATTTGGATTCCAATATCAGCCAGACATGCCTCCCGTGAACTCTCCAAACCAGATCTCCAAAAGAAACCCCTCGATCGACTCCAGCAAAATTCAGTAGAATAGGCCCCCCGGCTAACCCAGCTGGGACCTCGATGAACAAAAAAGCACAGCTGGACTATCAGTAGGGCAGCAGCCCTTCAGGCTTAGATCTCCTCCTCCTGGACAAGAACCCCCCTGCTCTAGGCCTCAAACTATTTATGTTCCTTCCCAGCCACCTACTGGGCACCCTCCCTCAGGGATTGGCTGGGACAACATAAATGTCAGGCTGCCTATTAGACTCTCCCAGCCCACTACATTCCAGAACCCTCCAGAAGGCGGGGGGAAGCAGTCAAATCTGCAACCACTGAGGCACAGAACAGCCCAAAATAATCACGAGATTACAGTAGAGATAAAAGAACAACATTTACATAGCCAAGCTAGCAGCCTAACTAGGAGGACAACATGGACAATGGAGCACTGGGTCCTCCTTGGTGAACCTTCTCAGACCCCAGATGACAATCTCCTCATGTACCTGGCTGTCCCGAGGGTGTCCCTGAGCAAGGGATTCCAAGATGTACAGATGAAGTAGTCCCAGGGAGAACTAGTTGGGTATTGCGCCTGACCGCCCTCTCCCTTCTCTGGCCCAGGGGGGGTAGAAGTACTCACACCTTCCTGTCCCGTAGCTTAATGGGTTGCAGCTTCTTTCAGGCCTCACACTGGGCTGGCTCCTTCCCGGCTGACAGACTGTCTTTTCTAAGTAGACTGTGGGACAGTGGAGGTCCTTCTGTCCAGCTTTAGCCTGTAGGTAGCCCCGCCTCTGCTGGGACTCCCCTCTCAGGCTCCACACCACCAGCACCATCCTTCGCGCCATCTTCCACCTGACTCTGCTGTTCAGGCTCTCCCATATTTAAGGGCTGTCCTCAGCACCATGCCAGGCCTCCTACCTGGGGATTAGCCAGGTTCCCTCAAACATGCAAATCCAGGTCTTCAACCCCTCTTCTAGAAAATACCAGAGCTTTCTAAAAGGTGTGGGAGGGCTCCAGATGCCCTGACCTGTACAACCTCCCAGCCTAACCTGAGGTAACCTCACTGCCTCATTCCCAGGCTGACTCATCCCAGGCTTGTAGCAAGCCTGTGACTAACATACAAAAATCCTACCTAATCCAGAGGGCACTACATGTTTTTATTGCATGTTGGTATTCTTTTGACTTACATGACCCTTTTTTCACAATTAATATGTGATTCGCATTTATTTGGAGTGCACCAGTCGCCCAGAGGTCCAGTCCCATGAGGGGTACAGCTTCATATTTGGACATCACCCCTCACTTAGACGCAGAGATATATAATAGCTTCATATTGCACCGCTCAGTGTACATTATCTGTACCTCCAGGACTTCACTCCGGGTCGTTGGGCGCTCTGTGTAGCTTCACCCTCATCTCTAAGAACAAAGTGGAGGAACCACAGGAACAGCCGAGAGTCACCGTGCTACACAAAGAGTCTGGAAGGTGAGAGGACAGGGCAGCTGTATCCTGGCTATACTGACATGTACACACAACCCACCGGGGTGATCAGATTCCAGCATTGGAGGTCCAGGAAGATCAGATTCCAGTTTTGAAGGGCCAGGGAGATCAGATTCCAGTTTTGAAGGGCCAGGGAGATCAGATTCCAGTTTTGGAGGTCCAGGGAGATCAGCTTTCAGTATTGGAGGTCCAAGGAGATCATATTCCAGTATTGGAGGTCCAGGGAGATTAGATTTCAGTTTTGGAGGGCCAGAGAGATCAGATTCCAGTTTTGGAGGTCCAGGGAGATCAGATTCCAGTTTTGGAGGTCCAGGGAGATCAGCTTTCAGTATTGGAGGGCCAGGGAGATCAGATTCCAGTTTTGGAGGTCCAGGGAGATCAGCTTTCAGTATTGGAGGGCCAGAGAGATCAGATTCCAGTATTGGAGGTCCAGGGAGATCAGATTCCAGTTTTGAAAGGGCCAGAGAGATCAGATTCCAGTTTTGGAGGGACAGGGAGATCAGATTCCAGTTTTGGAGGTCCAGGGAGATCAGATTTCAGTATTGGAGGGCCAGAGAGATCAGATTCCAGTTTTGGAGGTCCAGGGAGATCAGCTTTCAGTATTGGAGGTCCAGAGAGATCAGATTCCAGTTTTGGAGGGACAGGGAGATCAGATTCCAATTGTAGAGGTCCGGGGAGGTCAGATTTCAGTATTGGAGGTTCAGGGAGATCAGATTCCAGTTTTGGAGGCCCAAGGAGATTAGATTCCAGTTTTGGAGGTCCATCCTTAATGAGGCCATTCATTTCTTCAACAAACCTTCCATGAGGTTATGTATGAGTAGCGCTGCCCCCAGAGGAGCCGCTGAATTGTTTTGTGATTTCTCTGCACACCTGAAGATAGCAGACCTCGCTCACCCAGCACTTACTGACTCACCTTGAGGTATTTCAAAGGATTTATTTGGCTAAGGGTAGCCTAACCGCGGAGAGGAGAGATCTGGGGAAACTCCTGCAGTATTCTGACTATTAGTAGTGAACTGAACTGCATTTTCCTAACAACCGTATATAAAGACGCCCCATTTTATCCCACTAACCTGTGATTGATGAAAAAAAAAAGAACCTGTTGGCTGGTAAAGTTGGGGCCCTTGAAGAAGACACAACAGATCCCAGCAGACAACAGAATAACTTGTGCAATGTTAGACTCAGGGCGCCCTCTTCTGGGTCTCAGTAACAGTCAAGTTCAAGTCAGTGATAGAAGTTGCTGTGATCTCTCTCTTTCAGTTCTGCTGAGACATTCCCTCTTTTCCTCCCTTACAAGTGGTGGTGGTGCTCTCTAATCTACAGTCTGAGCACACCAGACATCCCAATCATACCTTGCACTGCGCAATGAGAAGTCTCTCCTGATTTTGGTCAGATATGGCAGGGTCCTGTTCAACCAGCAGCAGCAGCCAGTCCTTTCCCTGTACACCTGCTTGCTTCCAGACAGTCCTCTTCCTTTTCATCCCCAGCCTGCAGACCCTTCCCTTTGCTCTGTTGCATCAGCCAGTCACTTCCAGGATCGATTCAGACCCAGCCAAGATGGCCGCTCCCTGCACTGGAGACACTCCACAGTGGAGCATTGCAAAGTGGTCTTCTTAAAGATGGCTGCTGCACTTGTACATTAAGGAATATTCAGTGTAACCCTGTCCACACTGCAGAAGGACAACACAGCAGCAACAAAGGAAGAGGTCCAGCAGCAGTTATCAGCTGCAGTCCAGGTCACATGTGCATGTAATGTAGTTCATGTGTGTTATTAACCTGTAAAAGCCTCCCTTGTGTAGACATCCAAATGACCTGAGACTGCTGCTGGATACCTTCATCTTCATCCCCACTGTGCAGACCCCCCCCCCTACTGTACAGACCCCCCCCCCCCCTACTGTGTAGACTCCCCCTTGACTGTATAGACCCTCCCCCTAATGTGCACAACCTACTTTTATTGTGTAGGCCCTCCCCTGACTGTCCAGACCCTCCCGATTGTAGAGACCCTCCCCTAGTGTGCACAACCTGCCTCCATTGTGTAGACCCTGCTTCTACTGTGTAGATCAGGGGTCTCCAAACAAAGGGCCATTTTACTGTCCTTCTGACTTTAGGGGGGCCGAATAGTGGCCAGAGAGGGTGCAAAATGTCTTGGGCCCTTCATCAGTGAGAACATAACATGGCCTCAGGGCTTGTGGTCAGTAGGTGGAGAAGTAGTACCCCATCATTGGTATCAGTGGGAAAGTCATAGTGCCCCATTGTTGGTGTCAGTGGAAGGAATAATGCTTCATATCATTGGATAAGGGCTAGCGAAGGGCCCCATCCAGCCCTCAGACCACAGATTGGAGACCCCGGGTGTAGACACTTCTGCTCCCCCTAACGTCCAAACCCTCCCCCTATTGTGTTCACCCTCCTCCTACTGTGCATATTCTCCCTCCACCTATTGTTTGAACCCCACCCCTTACAATGTAGACCCTCCCCCTACTGTGAGGACCCTCCCCCTATTGTGTTCACCCTCCACCGGCTATGCAGACCTACTGTTTGAACCCCACCTCCTACAATGTATACCCTCCCCCTACTGTGAGGACCCCACCCCCTACAATGTAGACCCTCTTCCTACTGTGATGACCCCACCCCCTACAATGTAGACCCTCCCCCTATTGTGTTCTCCCTCCACCTGCTATGCAGACCCTCACCCCTACTGTTTGAACCCCACCCCTTACAATGTAGACCCTCCCCCTACTGTTTGAACCCCACCCCCTACAATGTAGACCCTCCCCCTACTGTGCGGACCCTCCCTTTTATTGTGCGGACCCCCCCTTGTATTGTGCAGACCCCCCCCTTGTATTGTGCGGACCCCCCCTGTATTGTGCGGACCCTCCCTTGTATTGTGCGGACCCCCCTTGTATTGTGCGGACCCCCCCTTGTATTGAGCGGACCCCCCCCTTGTATTGTGCGGACCCCCCCTTGTATTGTGCGGACCCCCCTTGTATTGTGCGGACCCCCCTTGTATTGTGCGGACCCCCCCCCTTGTATTGTGCGGACCCCCCTTGTATTGTGCGGACCCCCCCCTTGTATTGTGCGGACCCCCCTTGTATTGTGCGGACCCCCCCCCTTGTATTGTGCGGACCCCCCCCCTTGTATTGTGCGGACCCCCCCTTGTATTGTGCGGACCCCCCTGTCATTTTGTTCTGTTTTCTCTCTGGCAGAGCTCTCCAACCCTCCATCCAGGATAACCATGACGGAACGTACCAGATCTCCTACACCCCCACAGAGGCGGGGCATCTGTCGGTCAGCGTGTGTGTAAGAAGCCGTCACATCAAGGTAACCCAATGGTGGTCTGTGTCACGTGACCTCTGATTGCCGCCGATCGCCCCCCTCCCCCACATGAGATCACCAATCACAGGACCTAAAGAAGCTGCACCCCAGGCAGATATAGAAGACCCCAATGATTGCAGCTCTGTATACACCAACACATCACTAAATGTATCTATTAATAGCAGGAACTCCCGCCCCCTGTATGGTATGATCCCCCTGTATGGTATGAGCCCCCTGTATGGTATGGGCCCCTTGTATGGTATGAGCCCCCTGTATGGTATGAGCCCCCTGTATGGTATGGGCCCCTTGTATGGTATGAGCCCCCTGTATGGTATGAGCCCCCTGTATGGTATGAGCCCCCTGTATGGTATGAGCCCCTTGTAGCCCCTGTACAGCAGAGCTCCGACCTGGGGAGGGAGAAGCAGCACAAGCAGCCAATCAGTTCATGCTGACAAGAAGCCCGCTGTATTCCTGACGTTCAGCTCCATCACCGTCTGTCACAATGCGGCTCCCGCTGTGTACAATGACACCCGCAGAAAGTCTACGAGTGTCACCGAGCAATACAATGTAGCCATGTGTTGTTACATTGTATTTATAATGACCTGCATGTGACATCACGAGGGCCCCACCAGCGAGCCACGCTGAACACACGTGACCTGACCTTGTCTATGTGTTCGGTCTGCTCTGGAAATGTGCAGCCGCATCGCATGAACCGTAAAGAATCCTAACAAGTTTTACTGTTTATCCCCTTATTGGCCCTTCGTTATCCGCCTTCCGTCCGGCCTATGGCTGAAATACTGCTACGGGGCGGGATGGGTGCGCAAAATCCTGTATATATGTGACTTTGCATTTACAGGTAGGGGGGGTGCGCGCTCCCTACCCGCGCCGCCATTTGTGGCCACGGCTGTCAGTCACTGGGTCCTGCCCGGTGATTACTCACCGGCACCTGGTGATTGCCGAGGATCTACGATGGGGAGGAGAACTGTTTTGTTTAGAAAAACAGTTCTCCTCCCTGTCAGCTCCTGTACACTGCTTTGCATGGCTCTGCATAGCAGCATGCTCACAGTGAAACAAACACACAGTTAACCCTTTGATTGCCCCAGATGTTAACCCCTTCCTGCCCAGTGCCATTAGTACAGTGTCAGTGCCAGGGGCGGACTGACCATTTGGAAACTTGGGCACTGCCTGAGGGCCCGGGGTCAGTAGGGGGCCCCATGCGATGCCCCTGGTACCTTTTTCATAGGCTTTTTTGAGTTTGGCAAGGACACGGGCCCCATGATCCCCTATTGCCTGGGGGCCCCATGAGTTGTCAGTCCGCCCCTGGTCAGTGCTTTTTAGCACCGATCACTGTATTGGTGTCACTGGGGATGTCAGTGACACCAAGTCAGTCCCCCCCCCCCCCCCCCCCCAGTGTCAGAATGCCCACCGCAGTCCCGATATAAGTCTCCGATCGCCGCCATTATTGGTAGATGAAATTAAAAAAAAAAACAGTTTATCTTTCCCGCCATTTGTAAACGCTATAACTTTTGCATAAACCAATTAATTTACACGGATCGGGATTTTTATTTTTAGCGAAGACACGGAGCGGGAGACATTTTGGCCGAAATTAATGACAAAATTAGATTTTTTTAAAATAATTTTTACTGGACGTGTTTCATAGCAAAAAAGTAAAAAATATAGTTTTTTTTCTCCAAATTGTCGGTCTTTATAGCACAAAAAATAAAAACCGCACAGAGGATCAAACACCACCGAAAGAAAGCTCCATTCGTGGGGCAAAAGGACGTAAATTTCATTTGGGTGCAGCGTTGCATGACCGCGCAATTGTCAGTTAAAGTAACGCAGCGCTGTAATGCAAAAATGGCCTGGTCCGGGGGGGGGGGGGGGGGGGGGCGGTAAATCCTCTGGAGGGGGAGGGGTTAACCCTAATCACCACAGAAACATAGAAGGGCGGTGGCAGAAAAGTGGTCCATTAACTTCTTTCTCGACAATATTTTTCTGCAGACTTTTTCTTTTTTTTTTACTATTATGTCTTTTTTTTTCATTGTCAGGTAACAAGAAAAATGTGTAAAATTAAAAAAATTAATTTGCAAATAACTTTTCCACGCTTTGCACCCGAAACGCGTCGTTCTAAGAATAAAATGTATACTTTGTATTTACAATGTAACTGTTTTTTTGCTCTGTCCCATAAGGGGTAGAGAAGTAAAGAGAGCTGAAGGGGTTAATGCCTGTCACTCCTGTATCCCCCCCCAGGGATCCCCCTTTAATGTGACAGTGAGGGGCCCCCTGCGCTCCCACCCCGGCATCTACCACTGCTGTACGTTCTGCTCCAGTGGAGGGCAGAAGGACGCTCGGTGCGGATGTGGAGGCGCAATGCCAGGTGAGTGGATGAGGGGGGATCTCTGCGGTGTGTCCCCTTTTCCAGCGCCATCTGATTTCTCATATCTCTTGTCTCTTCTCCCTAGGGGGGTATCAGGGCTGCGGACACGGCCACAAGGGTCACCCTGGACATTCCCATTGGTCATGTTGTGGGTCCATATCGGAGAAGTCGGAGTGCAGTGGCGTGAAGGACTCTGCCCCCCGAAATTTACTCAGGACTGTTGCTCTATGAGAGGAGATGTGGCACCTTCTGACTCTTGCTGGGCCCATCAGGCTGTGTTGGGAGGGAACACCGAAAATGTCATGAAGGACATCAGCTCTTCTGAAAAAGGCAATGCTGCTTGTGGTCCCCATTCCATTTGTGTGGAGAACACAGAGGACGAGCTTCTGCCTGAGTGAAGAACACGGTCCTCACTCCATTTGTGTGGTCAAAGGCAGAACACAAAGGACACAGAGGACAGGGTTCTGCCTGGATGAGGCACATGGTCCCAAATTCATTTGTGTGGTCAAAGACAGGACACAGAGGACACAGAGGATGGGGTTCTACCTAGATGAAGAGCATGATCCCTATTCCATTTGTGTGGTCAAAGACAGGACACAGAGGACAGGGTTCTACCTAGATGAAGTACGTGACCCCTATTCCATTTGTGTGGAGAACACAGAGGATGAGCTTCTGCCTAAGTGAAGAACATGGTCCTCGCTTCATTGGTGTGGTCAAAGGGCAGAACACAAAGGACACAGAGGACAGGGTTCTGCCTGGATGAGGGCACATGGTCCCCAATTCATTTGTGTGGTCAAAGACAGGACACAGAGGACACAGAGGATGGGGTTCTACCTAGATGAAGAGCATGATCCCACCTAGATGAAGAGCATGATCCCTATTCCATTTGTGTGTGGTCAAAGACAGGACACAGAGGACAGGGTTCTGCCTGGATGAAGAGCATGACCTCCATTCCATTTGTGTGGTCAAGGGCAGGACACAGAGGACAGGGTTTTGCCTGAGTGAAGAACATGGTCCCCACTTCATTTGTGTGGTCAAAGGCAGGACACAGAAGATGGGGTTCTGCCTGGATGAAGCTCGTGGCCCCCACTCCACGTGTGTGGTCACAAACAGCCAGAGGAAACAAGATGAAGGTCGGCCCTTCAAGTGTTTTTTTATAATGGACCCCACTGGCACTGTGCAATCTTCCTTTTCCTGATCCATGATTGGTTCTGATATCTGGGCCGACCAATGAAACATCTGGCCATTTTCATTCGCCATCACTATGCACCTTACTCCCAGTGCACTATGGGAAATCCCAGTTAACGTAGTTGCCGTTCCTTCAAATACTTTATCAATCACAGAGCGGCCAATCAGGAGCCACCTTTTACTGATCTTACTTCAATAAAACAATTTGTGATTGGGAGCTGGTAGGCACCACCCCATGGTCCTCGTACTTTGTCCCTTGCATTGAGCTGTCAGTGTATGATGATGAATGAAGGAGGGGCGAGGAAGGATTTGGAGGGTCTCTCCTTTTTTTTTCTATTTCAGGAAAAGTTTTGAAAGTGGAAATCCACATCCGAGGATAAAACCCGTCCATGAACTATACAGGAAGTACAACTGTCCGCCCTCCACCATGTACACTGTGGTGACGACATGAAGACAAAGACTCAGAGCCAACCCAACAGGAAGGAGGAGGGGAAGGGAAACGGGACTGAGATAAGAGATACAATGTTTAGGATTTGTAAACGCATGACTTCTATTCCATAGGAAATATACTGGAGATGATTGACGTTCAGCCACCAGGACCCATGTGCAGGAACTTCCAACATGACAATGATCCCAAACATACCGCCCGGGCAACGAAGGAGTGGCTTCGTAAGAAGCATTTCAAGGTCCTGGAGTGGCCTAGCCAGTCTCCAGATCTCAACCCCATAGAAAACCTTTGGAGGGAGTTGAAAGTCCGTGTTGCCCAGCGACAGCCCCAAAACATCACTGCTCTAGAGGAGATCTGCATGGAGGAGGAGATCTGCATGGAGGATGGGCCAACATACCAGCACCAGTGTGTGCCAACCTTGTGAAGACTTCCAGGAAACGTCTGACCTCTGTCATTGCCAACAAAGGATATAGAACAAAGTATTGACATGAACTTTTCATATTCACCAAATACTTATTTTCCACCATAATTTGCAGATAAATTCTTTCCAGATCAGCCAATGTGATTGTCTGGATTTGTTTTCTCATTTTGTCTCTCATAGTTGAGGTCTCCCTATGATGCCAATTACAGGCCTCCCTCATCTCTGTAAGTGGGAGAACTTGCACATTGGTGGCGGACTAAATACTTTTTTGCCCCACTGTATATCCAGTGCTAGAGGTGGCAGAACTGTGTTCCCCCCCCCCCCCACGTTCCATCTGAACCCCCCCGCCCCCTGCTAATTGGTATCCCTCTAGTTCTGCACCATCTCTTCCATTTGTTGTAGTTAATCTATTCTAGTAGTAGGTGAGGATGATGTTATGTGATGGAGACGTGTGCTGGACGGCATGCTTCCCTCGTGCTCCATGGCTGAGAGGTCACTGCCCATCCTGACTCTATATACAGCCCTCCAGGATACCCTAGCATGGGCAGGGCCATCTTAATGCATGACCAGGGGCCACAGGTGCATGGGACCCCCATGATAATCTTGCATTGCCAACTATCCCAGATTTGTCGGGGACAGTCATGCTTTTTACTAAGCTGTCCCAGGATGGCCTTGGCAGCATCCCGGAATCTGTGCTCTGGGGACAGCAGCAGCCTGTCAATGGACTCAATCCACAGTAGGAATGACGACTTCCCCGGCTACTTGTTCAAAGTTGATTTCACTGAAAGTACTAATAAATATATATTTATTCTATCACGTACATTTATTTCTAAGATTAGGTGCCTAAATTAGGACAGGCTGGTAGGGGCCCCGGTGCATTACTTTGCCCTGGGGCCTATGATGCTGTTAGGACGGCCCCAAGCATGAGCCCGGGTTCCCAGCAAACATTGGAGGACACCCGGCCCGGCACCCATCCTGGTCTAACCAGCGTACCAGTGGCTGTGTAATCCGTAGGTCACTGGTCCGGGCACGGAACCCCGGTGTAGTCCTCCATGCACTAGTTCATTTCCAGAAAACGTTCCCATGTGGTTGATCAGGAGTAATGGAACCTCCACACCAGAGATGCCTTTTGGCATTTGATTTAAAGATTTTAAGCTTTATACCATTTGTTCCTCAAACTCAGCAAAATCCATCCAAGACATTGCAGACTGCTGGTGTAGTGTTGGGTTAGGCACTCAGCGGCCACTTTATGAGGTCCACCTGTTCAATGGCTTGGGAACACAAATGCTAATCAGCCAATCACATGGAGGTAACTCAAAGCATTTAGGTATCTAGACGTGGTGAAGGCGACTTGCTGAAGTTCAAACTGAGCATCAGAATGGGGAAGAAAGGGGATTTAAGTGACTTTGAACATGGCATGGTTGTTGGCTCCAGACGAGCTGGTCTGAGTATTTAAAAAACTGCTGATCTATGATTATGACGTACAACCATCTGTAGGGTATACAGAGAATGGTCCGAAAAAGAGAAAATATCCAGCGAGTGGCAGTTGTGTGGAGGAAAATGTCTTGTTGATGTCAGAGGAGAATGGGCACACTGGTTCAAGATGACAGAAAGGCAACAGTAACTCCAAAATCGCTGAAGAATGTTTCCAACACCTTGTTGAATCTATGCCACGAAGGAAGTTCTGAAGGCAAAACGGGGTCCAACCCAGTACTAGCAAAGTGGCCGGTGAATGTAGATCTGCCTTGTTGTAGTTTCCATGTTCCCCCAACAAGGTGCCACTGTAGGAGATGGTAAGGTAGGGGTAGGGCTCCTCAGGGGTCAAAAGAGTGTATGTCCTGCCCCTGCTGGGGAAAGGGGACCCGTTATATAGTGGAGGCGGGAGGGTCCTGGGATTGTATATCTTCCTATGGTGTCCTGATCCTGTGGGGCCCACTATCTAGGCTGTAGGCCTTGTGAGCGTACTTCCCCCTGTTGAGAAGGGGAGTGGGTAAGAACCAGTCGGGCTGCCATGCTGTCAGAGACTGGGATTACTCACATTCTGTTGGGGGATAACAGGACTCGGGGACCGTCCTCCTATCACAGTGAGGTCTCCCTCTATGGCCATGTTGTGTTTGCATCATCAAGGAGGTGGTGCCTTCACCTGGAAGACTGAAAGACCTGGATGTAAAAAGAAGTTATTTTTGAGATTTATTTGTCATATGAAAAAGATAACGTGGTGTCCAGCAGAAATTCTACTCCACACATTTCCTGTAGAACGTCTTTGTTTCCAGAAATTTTGTGTGATAGGACAATGCCACCCTGGATGGGCTCAGGTTCCGGAACATCACACCCTCTCCAGACGGTTTCAGATTTACACGGAAAGACTGCATGGCTTCTAGGAGGTCTGCGATACACAGAAACATAGAAGAGTGAGCACAGAAAAGAAGACCAAGTGGTCCATCAAGTCTGCCCCTTTTTTTTTATATTTGTATGTTTTTGTAAACTTTATCTTTGAGTATAGATCTATGTTTGTCCCAGAAACGTTTGAATCTACTTACTATTGATTGACTCCCTACCTCTGCCGGAGGTCCAAGCATCACTCTTTCGGTAAAATAATACTCTCTAAGGTTAGGTTTGAACTTTCCTCCTGCTAGTTTGAGGTCGTGTCCCCACACAGGTCAACCACGGGTCAACCACGGCACAGGTCAACCACGAGCCGCGTCCTTCTACCTAGAGCTGGAAAACACATCCATAATCACAACCTTTATCACGGTCTATAAAGGGAAACGTAAAGCGAGACAATTCCTTTCATTGGTTACATAAATAAAATTCACTGCCAGCTTTCCGGAATAGTCGGTTCTCCGTGTCAGGCATGGGCCCTATAAATAGGTGAGAAGCCACAAACGTGTACAATGAGTGTGGAAAACGGTTAATACACCTGTACTGCATATTGGGTGCTCCTCCATCCCACAATACCTGAACCACGTATCACCAACGCCACGTATCACCTGAAATATCCCACATGCCAGGTGAGCGGAAACCAGGACCCCTCCCACTGCTCAGTTCCTGAACCACGCATCGCCAACACCCCATGGAGTTCCCAAAATATCCCACATGCCAGGTGAGCGGAAACAAGGGCCCCTCCCACTGCTCAGTTCCTGAACCACCTATCACCAACACCCCATGGAGTTC